ATTCAGCTCCCCGTTATGCGTGGTGGCTGCGCACGGCCCCGTGAAATTTGTTAGCTGCAATTTCGGAAACTCGGAAACTGAGAAAGCTGGGAACATGGGATTTCGAGAGAATGTTCCCTGTCCAAGTATAGCGTAGATAATTAAGTTCCCGAAATTCGAGGACCAGTACGTACAAGAGGTTTTTAGCTAGCGGAATTTTGAGCAATCTTATTACAGCACGAAAAACTGCAAAAACGCATGATCGCACGGGGCCCCCAGTGCGCGTCGCCAATGATATAATTCAGTAACCAAAGCTGCTAAACTACTGGAATTTAGTGGGCATGATCCAAGACAATATTTATGGTTAGGGTACTTGAGCATATTTTTCACGGCATAACCATCTTGCGAAGGTGTGGGAAATAGACTTAAAAAGAGTGGAAATTTTAAAGTGTAGCCCACTGCAGTATGTCTTAAATATGCAAAACATACAACCCCACAAAAGTTTTGGTGGATAAATTATTATCTTTAGGACCGCTAAGTCTACGAAGCTATTTTAAGATAATGACTCTCTGCCCACGCACGACCTTGCAAATTCAAATTCTACTTTCCCGCGCTCTCCTATACCAACCACCGTCCTGTGAAATCTTTGACGGGTAAATTATTGTCTCGGGAACCATCGAATCTAGGGAGTCGAAATTTTAAGGATATGTCCTCTGCCCACGTGCGGCCCAGAAAGTTTAAATTCAGCCTTCCTGTGCTTACAGGTAACCCATGTGGCCCGGTAAAACTTTCGGCGGGTAAATTAATATTTCGGGAACCGCGGAATTTAGGAAGCTGAAATTTTGGGGGATTGTCTCCTGCCCACGTGCAACTCCTTAAATTTAAATTAAGAGCAGTGGAAATCATTAGCAGGCAGTCATTCGGTGGACGGAATTGAACAAAACGCATGATCGCACCGGCTGCCCCGGTGTACGCCGTTATTTATTATGTTTTGTGCTGTGTATCAGCAACGCAAAACGCATATTGTCACACCCATCTCTGTGCATGCACTTTTTGTGTATGTGTGTGTATGTACGCATGTGTATCCGGTTGTGTTTTGTCCTGCTTTTTCGACTCGGGAATCACAAAAGCTAGAAGGCTGGAAACTTAGTACAATGGTCCACGCCTACGTGCGATCCTGTAAATTTAAATTCAGCTTTCACGTGCCAGTAGGTACCACGTGTGGCTCCTGAAAGTTTTGGCTGGAAAAATTGTCTCCTCCTGCCAAAGAATGCGGCCCTACAAATCGAAATTCAGCTTCGAAATACGGTCCTGTGAAAGTTTCTGGGGGAAAAAATTCTTGTCTCGAAGAGCAAGAGCTAGAAGAAAAAAATGTCAGGAGGGTATTTTTGCCTCTGCAAGAACCTCAGAAACTCAAGTTTACCCCCCAAACATGCCGTAGTTCTCAATAGAGCCATGTGAAGATTTTGGCGCGAAAATCACTAACTGGCAAGCCAGAAAACTAAGAAGTTCAAATTTTGGAAGGATGTTCCCTCTCCATGTGTGATCCAAGGTTTGAAATTCGGCTTTCACATATGCTTCGTTGCCATTTCACATAATTGGTACATTAAATTTTTAATGAAATATTTCGCAGCTTAGATGCCAGATTACATATCGACTATTTTCGCACACGCCGAAGTGTAAAACAATGAAAAATTTTAAAAACTATACGCCCGTTGGGCGAAAATGCGCAAAACGCATGATCGCACCGGCTGTACTGAGGCACGCCGCCATTTATTCTAATCCTTGATGTCTGCAGGTTGAGTATTGTGAAAAAATGTTGAGCAGTTCTACTTTTGGATCCTATTCTTGTTGCTGCAGTGGCCATCGATGTAATGCAAACGGTGAAAAATTTCTGAAGCATTTGGACAAAAAGGACGTGCAAGTCGTTCAAAACAAGCCATTTTTCCAAATACCACAAACAACAGGAATGGCAACAACTACTACAACAGGAATGATAGTGACAACGACGACAACAATGACAACCACAAGAGCAACGATAATTACAACAACAGCAAGGACAACCACAACAATGACAATAATAACGACTACTCCTGTAACGACAATAGCAGCAAGGACAACCACAGCAATGACAATAATAACGACTACTCCTGTAACGACAATCGCAACAAGGGCAACCACAACAATGACAATAATAACGACTACTCCTGTAACGACAATAGCAGCAACGACCACAACTACAACATCAACAACAACGGCACCAACTGAAACGACAACAACAACAACGACAACGGCAACAGTCAAAACAACAACGACAACGGCAACAATCAAAACAACAATTACAGCGGCAACAACTGAAGCGACAGCAACAACAATGACAACGGCATCAAACAAAGCAACAACAACAACGACAGCGGCAACAACTGAAACGACAACAACAACAACGGCAACGGCAACAATTAAAAC